ATATAATAATAATAATAATAATAATAATAATAATAATAATAATAATAATAATAATAATAATAATAATAATAATAATAATGATAATAATAATAATAATATTAATACAACCGAGTATTATTTAAATAAAAATATAAAATTGGTTTAGGAAAGTGAAAACAATAAATTTTACTTGACTTTAATGGGCAAATATCCAACAATCTCCCTATCTTTTACGTTCTGATCAAAACTAATTTTAAGCAACTCCCCTTGCATTAAACACTTCAACTCTTCAAACCCTCCATTATCTGGTCATATACAATATGTTTGAAACAAACATATATTACACATAAAGAAGAGTTTTAAGAGCATAATGTCACGGGCTTGTTCCCTCAACAACGAACCGTGCGGCCTTAGCTCCTTCTCGCCCCTCGCGATAGCTAAGTCAGCCTCTCCCGAATGTGTTGCGAATACTTAAGTGATGGAAACGAAGAAAGAAAATTAAGAAGGCGAGAGAGTTTGTAAGAAAGTACTGCTTGAGTGCTTATTGTATTTCTTGGATTTTTGTTGGATGATTACAAATGAGGATTCTACCTCTATTTATACAAGACAACCTCCTCAATGGACGGTGGAGATCGATATGATCTAACGGTTGGGAGTGGAACACTCCAAAGAATTCCTAAAATGTCTCTACCTACCTCCACCTACCTCTACCTACCTCTATACATTTGGGCCAACTTGGGCCTAACCCTATTTGGGCTAAATCTTGGACTCTTTAACCTCCCCAATCCAAGGGAAAACTGGCAAGGGGTTGAGTCAAAACTAGCGGGCCGAGACATCCTCCCCCGCCAAATTCGGCGACGTCCTCGTTGCCTCGAACAAGTGGAGACGATCTTGAAACTGCCACAAGTCTTCCTTCGTCTCCCACGTTGCCTCGGACTCGGGTAATCCCTTCCATTTGATGAGGTATTGAATACTCGGTGGAACTCCCCTACATCGCATCAATTGTCGGCCGAGCACTTCCTCGATCTCTTTATCGTATGACTTAGTCATGATGGGTGGTGCTCAGTGCGACTCTCCTCGGCTCGGGTCTTCCAAGTAACTTTACCGACCTTGGCGATCACCGGGAATGGTCCTTCGTACCTTCGCACAAGTCCCTTGTGCATGCTCCGCAATGCCTTGAATTGTTGGAGTAATAGTTTCACCATCACTTGGGCCCCAACGTCGAATTCCCGTGGTCGTCTTTTGTCGTCCGCCCATTTCTTCATACGTCGCCTAGCCTTCTCAAGGCATGCCCAGGCTAAGTCGGCTTGTTCCTCCCACGACTTAGCCATCTTCAAAGCTCCGGGACTCCTTCCATCGGTTGCCGTAGCCAAAGTGTGCGGCGTAAGCGGTTGTTGTCCCGTTGCGAGCTCGAATGGACTCCTCCCCGTGGCTTCATGTTGGGTGCTAAATACCAACACGCAAGTGCACGTATCGCAAACAAGTAGTAAAGTTGACTCGTGAGAGTCGGATGTCGATCCCACAGGGAATACGCAAATTATTTAATCCTAAGTACCAAATTTTAACAATTACGATTTTTATCCAGCCTACGCAAGTTTGTCAAATTAATCAATTAAACAATTAAACTAATTGAGAACGCAAATAATCACGAGAAAATATCAATATAAAACGGATCTAGGATTTTATCTTCCCCCTATGCGATAATTCTTCACCCAATTAATCTTCTATTATGCAAGTTACAATTCCCGATTATTAACCCAAGACACGAAATTACTCATAACCAGCTGTCGCGTGTATTATGAGTCTATTATTCATAAAAGATTTACTATATGTCTATGCAAACCTAGTATGAATAAAGCATTAAATAACAAGTCTCGTAAACGGCTACCTAAGGTATTATCTATATGTCTACAATAATACATGCAATTAACACACTCATCCGGTGAAAACTACTCGAAGGCTCTTCTATCCCTGTTCTAATTATTAAAACGATCTGTCAATCAATTCTAACAATAACCAATAGCAACATAAATTAGCTACGTTCATGCGCTAAATAAGATCAAAATAGAAGAAATAATCGAAGAATTAAACTTGCATAAAAGTAGAAAAAGAGGTTCGAATTACCACATTGGGTTCCAACAAAATCCTAGAATAAAAACTTAGCTACTCATGTTCGCTACGAAAAACATAATAAAAATACGAAAAAACATAAAAGCTATGAATAAAAATAAAAGAGGAGAACTATGATGAAGATTCGTCAAGTCTTCGTCTTCGTTCTTGTGCTCCTTGATTGCGTGTAGAAAATATAAAAGATGAAAGATCAAAATCCCTAATTGTGTGCTTTTGGCCTTTAAATAGGGTGCAAAAATATAATAGGACGGGTTTCCTTGTGTAATTAAACTTCCTTCACTGCGCCAACTCGTAAACCCGGACGGCCGTGCGAGAATAAGCTTTAAAATCCGGACGACCGTTCGGTCTTCAATTCTTCAGCGTTTCGATATTTTCACTTTTGGCCCACTTTTTCTCCGAATTTGCAGTTTTCACCCCATAAGTTGCCAATTCTTCAATTTGCACCTAAAATACAAATAATAGCCATTTTAAGCACCAATTATCGTTAAAACACACCAAAAGTTCAAATCAAAAGGTACAATTAAGTGTATAAATATACACTTAACACTTCACTCCGCTGCAAGTTGTAAGAGAATTGAGCCACGTCGAGGAGCTTCGCCCAATCTTTTTGATTGGCTCCCACAAAGTGCCGTAAGTAGCACTCGAGTAGGGCATTCACCCACTCCGTTTGCCCGTCGGTTTGGGGGTGAAAACTCGTCGAGAAGCAAAGCTCGGACCCCAAAAGTTTGAAAAGCTCCGTCCATAATCGTCCCGTGAAGCGTGGGTCTCGGTCGCTTATGATGTTCCTCGGTAGTCCCCAATATTTGACGACGTTCTTGAAAAAGAACCGGGCTGCCTCCTCCGCGGTGCAATCCCTCGGGCAAGCTATGAACGTCCCGTATTTTTAAAAGCGATCTACCACCACCATGATAGATCCGGCCCCCTCGGACTTCGGCAAGGCGCTAATGAAGTTAATTGAGATCGACTCCCATGGTCGCTCGGGGATTGGGAGTGGCTCAAGTAACCCTGCCGGTTGTTTATTCTCCACCTTGTCTTGTTGGCACACAAGACAAGTCTTCCCATATGCGTCGACACTGTCCCGCATGTGAGGGCAAAAGTAGGCCGTCTCGAGCAACGCCATTGTCCGTCTTTGGCCCGGATGCCCCGCCCACTTGGTGTCGTGGCATTCCCTTATGAGGTCCTTCCTCAAGCAGCCCCACTTCGGAACGAAGAGTCGTTGTCCCTTCGTGTAGAGTAGGCCGTCCTCTACCCAAAATTTCCTCGTCTTGCCCTCCTTGACGAGTCGAATTAGCTCCTTGGCCATTGGATCATGTTCGAGCCCTCCTCGGATCATGTCGGCCAAGTTCCCCCTTGTCGAGCTAATGGCTGCGAGTTCGGCTTTTCTACTCAAAGCATCGGCTACAACGTTTGTCTTCGATGGTCGAGTCTTCCCCGGCTCGACCAACTCATTAAGTTGCTTCCGGAGTTCCTCGGGCTCCGGCGGTGACATGCGATAGGGAGCCATGGCGGGTGGCTTGGCTCCCGGCTCCAACTCGATGGCATGATCCACCTCCCTCCTAGGTGGAAGTTTGTCGCGTAAAGTTGGTGGCATCACGTCTTGGTTGGCCTCCAAGACGGTTTGGATGATCGGTGGCACGTCCTCCTCTTTGTTGACGGGTGGGTTGTCCTCCTTTAAAGCGGCTAAGAACGTTGGCTCGCCCCGTCGAACTCCCTTGGCAACTTGTGTGGCCGACAGTTGCCTTGGTTGCATGCTTTCTTCCTTAGTGGTGTCGTTGATGACCGGCACCATGCAAGGTGTCCCCTTCTCTAAGATGCAAACCGAATTGAAACAAGGCATCGGGATAGCCATTACCTTGCGGAAGAAGTCCATGCCTAGCACCACCTTGAAATCATCCATCGGTGCTACCGAGAAATCCACTTGGCCCTTCCAAGTGCCTAAGTGCAGCTCCGCGTCTCGTACTACACCGTTGAGCGGTTGTGCCGTAGCGTTAACGGCCTTGAGCCAACCGTCTCGTCTGGTCCACCGTAGGCCAACCCTCTTGGCCTCGTCCTCGGTGATAAAGTTGTGGGTCGCTCCCGTGTCCACCATCACCTTTGCTGGGGTACCGTTGATGCGGGCCTCCACGTACATCAGCCCCTTGCTTGATGTTGCCGGCATCGGGTTAGCCTTTAAGGCGTTCAGAAGTTGGAGCGATCCCATGTTGCCTAGTCCCTCGTTTGTGCCTTTTTCGGCCTCTTGTTGTAAGAGTGCCGACAGTGACCCCATCTTGGGACATTGACTCATCGCGTGCGGCCCCTTGCACACGAAGCATCCTCCCTTAGGCACAAACGACCTCTTCTTCTCTTCAAGTTGTTGGTGTGAGGATGGCTTGTCTCCTCCCCTCAAGGTTGACGCTCGCCTTGAGTCTCGGTTGTCTCGATGGTCCCGGCTATGATTGTCCCGTCTCTCTTCTCCGCCTTTAGTCGGGTTCCACTTCTCTTTTCGCCAGGAATCTCTCGGTTGATACTCGGTTAAAGACTCGGCGGTGGCAATAGCTTCATCGACGGATTTGATGTCTCGTCGGTGGAGTTCTTACTTGGCCCAGCCTTGTAACCCATCGGTGAAGTGGAAAAAGAGATCCTCCTCGGAAATGTTGGGAATTTGAAGGGTGAGGGTGGTGAACTCCTTCACGTACTCGCGGATTGAACTTCGTTGCTTGAGTTCCCTCAACTTCCTTCGAGCCTCATAGACGACGTTCTCCGGGTAGAAGTGTCGCTTGAGTTCCCTCTTGAACTCTTCCCAAGTATCGATTCGGCAAATGTCTTTCTCGATATTGGCGTGCTTTCTACGCCACCATAACATAGCCGTATCGGAAAGATAAAGGGAAGCAGTTCTTACCTTAGTCGTCTCGTCGACTAGACCGATACCCTCGAAATATTGCTCCATCCTCCATAGGAAGTTCTCAACTTCCTTGGCGTCCCTTACGCCGTTGAATCCCGTTGGCTTCGGGCAGTCCACCCTTGGACTCGAAGTAGCACCAACGCTACCGTTAGCGGCGGCCTTTTTGCACAAGGCCAAGTCATCGCGCATTCCCTCGATGCTCTCTTGGAGGGATTGGATGATGGCCTCAAATCAATCCAACCGTTCCTCCCGCAACGTCTCATTGTCTCTAAACAAATCGAGTTGCTCGGCGACGTAATTCTCCAACACCTCCGTATCCTGCTCGAGCTTCTCGAATCGTTCGCTAAGCTCCGCTATGGCGACGTTATTCTAGAGCCTCTCGAGTCTTTCGCCATGATCCGTTAGCACGGCCTCATTAACGGTACTCTCCCCACGAGCCTTGATGTGGTCCCTCTTCTTCTTGTTGTTTACTTGGGCCTCCCTACCACGTCCCTCGGTTACGTACGAAATATCTTCAACGTTCGCCATCGTTGAGAATTCAATCAACACAAAGCCCTTAGTCGGGCTCTGATACCACTTGTCACGGGCTTGTTCCCTCAACAACGAACCGTGCGGCCTTAGCTCCTTCTCGCCCCTCGTGATAGCTAAGTCAGCATCTCCCGAATGTGTTGCGAATACTTAAGTGATGGAAACGAAGAAAGAAAATTAAGAAGGCGAGAAAGTTTGTAAGAAAATACCGCTTGAGTGCTTATTGTATTTCTTGGACTTTTGTTGGATGATTACAAATGAGGATCCTACCTCTATTTATACAAGACCACCTCCTCAATGGACGGTGGAGATCGATATGATCTAACGGTTGGGAGTGGAACACTCCAAAGAATTCCTAAAATGTCTCTGCCTACCTCCATCTACCTCTACCTACCTCTATACATTTGGGCCAACTTGGGCCTAACCCTATTTGGGCTAAATCTTGGACTCTTTAACCTCCCCAATCCAAGGGAAACTGGCAAGGGGTTGAGTCAAAACTAGCGGGCCGTGACAATAAGGAGTTCAAAACAAATGTAAGTACATCAATCCAACAAGTAATACATCCTACAAAACAAGTGCAATGCACTAAAACAGAACTCTTACAAAGAGTCAAAATAACAAACAATAAGATGTTGTACAAAAGGATAGTAGAATTTTAAATTTCAGCACTTGAACCACTATTGGAACCAATTCCATCATTATCTCCACATCTTTTATCAGAAAGGGCTAACACCAACATTTCAATCATTCCGATGACATATTGAATAATTAATAGCCCATTAAAATATTCATGGGAGCAAACTAAAATAATTAGGGTAAATATCACTTTACCTCCTTCTACTCTTAATTGCATCAATTTTCCCCTTGCATTTTGGCTCGATATCACTTTACACCCTTCTACTCACAATTGCACCGATTCGCCCCCTTGTACTTGAAAAATTATCTCAATGTGGCCCTCGCCGTTACTTATCAGACCTTTGACCTTAACACCGTTGATTTAAGTCTGAAATTATTAAAAAGTCACCCTCCTTATTAAAAAAAATTAAAAAAACAAAAAATAAAATAATAAAAAATTCAAGACAACGAGAAAACATAGTCCACGGCGCCTGCCACAATTTATTTTTTTATTTTTTTAGTTTTTTTTAATAATTATTTAAACTGGGAGAGGTGGTTTTTTTGTAATTTTCAAGCTTAGATCAAACGGTGTTAAGGCCAAAGGTGTGAAACTAACGGCAACGGCCACATTGAAACAATTTTTCAAGTACAGGAGGCAAATCGATGCAATTGAAAGTAGAAGAGGGTAAAGTGATATTGAGCCAAAGTACAAGGGGGGCAAATAGATGCAATTGAGAGTAGAAGGGGGTAAAGTGATATCGAGCCAACGTACAAGGGGGAAAGTGGAATTTATCAAAATCATTAATAGCCCAAATTATAATACTCTTTAATCAATAACTATGATAATCAAAGTGCCAAAATTAAAAATAGGGGCCAACACTCACAGTTTTAGTAAGATAGATATTAAGAATAATTTAAAAACCGTGAAACATGAACATCTCACTACTTGCAAGAAATAATAGTCTGAAAATCTTGGATAAGTATATATACAATAATATATTATTATTTTTAAATAAAAGTAAAAACACAAGGATCATTATAAATAGGGTAAATAGCACTTAACCCCTTGCGATTTGGACATTTTGCACATGATCCCCTTATGCTATACCCTTATGCTATGAAATTGGGCATATAACCGACTTGAGGTTTGATGGAAGTAGCTTCAGTTACATTTACCATCCAATTTAACGACAAGTGAAGCTCACTCTCCAAAAAAGAGAGTGTTAGAAAAAGGTCAAACTAATATTACAAAAGACTAAAATATCCTATTGATTTCTATTTTTGAAAGTCAAGAAATTAATTTTAATTTTAGCATTAGATTTGTTTTTAATTCAATTTTCATTTCAACTTTATAGAAATGTTTCTTTTTTTAATTTTTCCAAAAGAATAAAAAAACCAAGAATTTGTTTCTTAAAAAAATTAAAATTCGATAACAGCTATAATATAATATATTATAAAGCCAAAGAGAGAAGGAAACGGTGGTGGTACGCCTTAGATACTAGACTCCAGTGTTTTACATAGTTCCTCCTTTGAATGACAAGGAAAATTTATCCAACTACTTTGTTGAACGTTATATTTTGACTCCTACAGTTTAGATGTATACTATATACTAGGTATGTTTTTTTAATATAAATCATAAACGTAATTCCATCGATTGTTTTCAGACATTCATAGGATGCATTTCGGCAACAATCTCACATTACCGAGCACCATCTTATTAATTAGAAGCTCGTCTATAGCGAATAGTGATGCATTCTCTCGCCCAGAGCAATGTAAAATTTGTTTCTTATCCTCAAATGTGAAGAAGAGATGCACAGTATTTGACAAGGCACCAATATTTACGGTTAACTAAATAAATTATGTGAATTCAACTTCCCCCGTCTGAGTGTAACGAAATGTGCATTTAGCTTTTAAGGAAAATCAGAGATATCTATAAGCTGAATGAAGCGTAGGGAAATGAAAAGAAACAGCATTGCAGTTATACCTTATGGAAGAAAAGATGTAGCATAAATAAAATAAATGGTTCAGTCTTGTTCTAAACCCTCATCAGTAAAAGCAAGTTCACATACAACTGCAAGATGGTCACTGCCCCATTCCTGCAAGATTAACAAAAAAAAACACCAAAATCTAAGATAGGAGTCCAATCCATTTCCAGCTTGGAGCAGATTCTTATGAAAGGAAAAGAAAATTATATACCACATAAAAAGAAAACTATGGATATTTGAAATTAAAGATCTCAAGCAAAAACTAAGAGGGTGTTTGGCTGAGCTTATAAGATGTTAAAAGGGATTTATAAGATGTTTTAGAGCTTATAAGCTCTTCCAAAGTGTTTGGTATTTTTTTAAAAAAAGATCTTAATTTTTTTATTTTTTTTTAAACTGTTGGAAAGCAAATAAGACTATTTTTTAAAAAATACCTCTACCCCACCTTTTTATTTAAGATCTTATAATGAGTAAAAATAGGAAATGAGCTCAAAATCCAAACACTCAAAAATTAATGGTAAAAATAAGATGTAACATCAGCTATTAAAACATCTTATCAAACGTAAGAGCTTATCAGCTATTTAAATAAAAATAAGCTTAGCCAAGCACACTCTAAGAAGGTATTTGAATAAGCTTATAATCTGTTAAAAATAAGTTGTTAGAGGGCAAATAAGATTTTTTTTTAGAAAGTACATCTAACCCACCTTTTTATTTAAGATCTCATAATGAGTAAAATTAGCTTATAAGCTCATTATCCAAACACTTTAAAAACTAATTCTAATAATAAGACGCAACAACTTATCAACTCTTAAAACAGCTTATCAGACATAACAAGTTATTTGCTTATTTAAAATAAGCTTAGCCAAAAGGGCCTTAAGCTTGTAAGTTGTTAAAAACAACTTATAAGATGTTTAAGAATTTATAAGTTCTTTCAAAGTGTTTGGTAAAAAAATCAAAAAGCTCTTAAAAATTCAAAATATTAATTGCTAGACAGATTATAAGATTTTTTTTAAAAGTACATATACCCACCTAATTATTTAACATCTTAAAAACAGTTAACTTATAAGCAGCTTATTATCCAAACATTTCAAAAAATAATTCTAAGAATAAGACGCAGCAGCTGCTTATTTTAAAATAAGGTTAGCCAAACGAGCTCTAAATTATATAAAATAGGTTGGCATGATAGAGAATAACTGCTAACAACATAGTTAAGATGAGAAATCAGCTCTTATATATCACGAAAGACAGAGGCAGTGATTACGAAAAAACATGAACCGTCCACGGAAAATCAATGAAACGAATGCATAACATCTTACACACAAGTTTACCCAAAAAAAATCATGGAAAGAAGACATCAGCAGGGATTATAATATCTGTGTAATATGACCACTAAGTAACTCTTAGGATAATATCAGTAGGTGTATTATGATGTTGTCAATTTCAAGTTTTAAGGATTAGAACCGAGGTTAGGAGAGAAACAACATTTAAAAATCTTAAAAACAAAAAAAAAGAAAAGAAGTTTATATAAGATCGAAATCACAATCAGAAGGTGTTGGAATGCACCAGCATTTTAAACAGAAGAGAGACGAAGAAGTGTTATGTTAGGGAACAAAACATTCAGTGTTTCAGGTGATATTTGCAATAAAAACTCAGCATACACATAAATGTAACCATGAAGAGAACAAACAAGAAAAACAAGAAACTTGGAAAAGAATTTAAAATAGGTATGATCGATCCACTAATACTTGACATAATTTATTCAATCTTATACCGACCAATGACTAGTTTCTCTAATTTATTTCAAACTTATATTCTTTGTCCAGGTAATGAAATAGTCGGGATTGCAGATCATTGGCCTCTATCTATAATAACATAGCAAAGCGAAAACAATGAATCTTCATTCGGTCCAACATGTTCCTAAACTTGCTTGCAAACTGTTGTTAGTGATCAAATTTTCTATAGATTATATTTAATTCGTCAATTTTTCCTTCTCATAGTGATCTTTTGCTTCGATCCAAGAGCAAACTAGGTCTCACAATTTGAGTGCAAGTATACACCTACAAATATACAGGATTCTCCAGACATAAAACATCATGCAATTATGACTGCCCTCTCATTCCGTTCTCTCCTAGTCAAGCTGTAAGGCTTAATTTGGTTTGAAGGATTTGAATGGAGGATTTCAAATCCATAAATAACAAATCTATTGGACGAATCTATTTCGCAATGGATTGCAAATGATTCGATCTCATTTTGAGTTATTTTTTGATTCATTTTAATGGAAAAGTGAGGGTCCTCCCATTATGCAGTACTCAATTTGATTTAGGAACAGTTACAACAGAAAACTAAATTAGTGTACCTTACTTGGAAGACCTCCTGTCTTCTCTAATGTATGCATAGGCAACGTTTCAAGAACTTTCACAGGAACAAGGTCTAATGTATGCCTGTTGACAATGTGTTATTGTGAAATATTTTGAATGCAAAATCAATCTAAGGGAAAACATAAAAAAATAAAAAATAAAAATATAAAAATAAATAAAAAATAAATCTATAGGGCTGTTATTAGAAAGAGAAAATACCATATGTAATCAACAGTTCCGCTGAATAAGGAATGATAGGATGTTGCCAGAGGTTCCCCAATTTCATCCCTAACGTTTGAGCTTCCCTGAGCAAACAGACAGATGGAAAACATATGCTTAGATGCATATGCTGTACAAGTAGAAACTGCAATAGAGCATCAAGTAAGTAAATCAATATTTGTTAAAAAATTAGGTGGTTGAATTTTCTGGTGCCACATGTCAACTCGTGATAGGATATTTAGGTGGTTGAAAATATGACGTCTCTTCTTGCTGTAGCATCGTAGTGCCAACCCACTTTCTTTCGACGACTCCATTGGAGAAGAAATTTTGAAATTTAGGGAATCAAAATGATGGTAGAACAATTTGCGGGAATATCTTACAGGAACTTCAGCATAGGCACTGCAGAGATTTAAATGATGCTTAACACAACTGCGTTTCGATCCAGTAGCAAGCATTATTTCTTCATCAGTCCATCTATTCTTAAAATGCCTACCAAAGTACAATCAGTTACAAATATGTTATTGTGGACAAAACATTTCGCAAGTAACAAATAATTATTCCAGAAAAGAGAGTGACAAGATATGTGTTGTATCAGTGTGACAAAGTCACAGACATAAGAGAAAGGTGCTTCTAGATAAACACAACATCCTTGCCATGATAAAATAATCGAAATATTTCTTGACAAGATCCAATATAATATTTTAATACATGCTTTCAGTACTTTAAGGCTTAATAATTACAGAGACTGCCACTGACGTTGATCTATTAATGAAAAAAGACCTCTTTGTTTCAAAATTACATACAACAATCTAAAAATGTTCGTAACTACATTCTACATATTGCCGTGAGTTGTCCTTACGAGAACTGTTGACCCCAACCATAGAAGTTATGAGGAAATCCAATTTTGCCCCGTGCTGTGCTGGTGAAAAAAATATTGAGACAAACGCTCTTGGGGTAATCCGTAATTTTAATATTTTACATCTTGTCCAATTGTTGTTGTATCCATTAGTTTCTGAAAATGAATAATTTTGGATCTTTAGATGGATGAGATAATTGGTCATATTTTATATTTTATACGTTATATTTTCAATGCATCTAATGGTTTATAAGTCTTCGATCACTAAAAGCTACTAAATCCTCAACAGGAGAAAAGGGGAGAAACTTGGGGATGATGTGAAGCATTGTAAAAAACGAGTAGCCTTTAAATGAGATACATATAACCTGAGCCAAATCTAAAATGAAATATTCCAATTTTATAAAACACATTTCCAAGTTGTAAAATAGCTTTGGATAGACAAGCTAGGATCAAGGGATGATTTGAAACATAGAAACGTAACTCGAAGTAAAAGAGCAAGGGATGATTTGAAACCTTGTCATATAATGCGGAGATCGGTATGCCGTATATGTAGATGGAATTATCTGGCCAGATATTTCTTTTCGATCATGTTCATGGATATGCAACTGATATAACCAGAAGAAAAAAAATGTTAGTAACTAATTCAAGTTTCACATAGCTCTATGGATAACTATAAAATGGTAGAGATCGAGGTTTGACCTTAGATGATGCCAGAAACTGATACATTGCACTCTGGATAAACATATATAGGAAACTTCAAATATAAGTGATGAATAGGAGTTGCCACTTGTATTACAACTTATTTTAAATTTCATGTTAATAAAATTACCTGGGGTAAACTATTCAGGTCCCCAGTAATCACAGTCGGTATGCATCCCCATTCTTGCGATAATTCATACGCCTTCTCAAGTAATACTCGCATCTACACTCACAAACACATTAAACCCAGAGTTAAACTTACACGATTTCTGAAACAACATTTCATCTGAGATGTAATTAGTATTCATCTATTAATCGACATGTCTACAAATGGAGATAACATCAACAAAGTTCATATTGATTTTGACATCGACGATATTTGCATTTTTCACAGTTCAATCGAAGAATGAACTGCTTCTTCCTTAAACAAGCTTATAATTTTCGCTTCCACCGTCAAGTAGACAAACATTCTCCTTCAAAAAAAAATTACATTGACATAGGCAAAGGGCACAATCCATGCTAAAAAGCATGACACAAAGTGCTTGCCTAACTCAGACAGGTAAACACAACCAATGCAAAACCACACCACCTCCCAAAATAAAGTTTTTACTGAAAGACAATTTATCAGTCTGACATCGAATAATTACATTTCACATGAATTGTTTACCTTCATGTGAATAATTTGGAGAGACTTCCAAGCCCAGACTCAGTCCAATCATCCAGTGCGACTAAGTTCAATATCAAACGAAGCCGAGATGTTATTTACTTATTTTGGAAAATGAACCAATTAACAATAATTGCCAACCATTGTAGGATATCTGCCTTAGTTAATAAATGCATTGTGTACTAGCAGTGACGGTTCTCTCTATTTTCCGTCATTTCAAGACTTTGCCAATAGTAATAGTTGGATAGTACGAATCATGTTACTAAGAGCTAATGTAGTGACTCACCTCTTACTTACTGATGCTCACTAATCAATTATTTCTTTTAACAAGTCAAAACATAACTCATGTTTAGCATAGTTCATCAACTTCCTGAACATGGCAATGGTATAAATAATAACATCCACAGTTTTTACTGGATCTCTAAAATGGTACCACTCATATAACTTCGATTAAAACAGTAATAGTGCTTGGAGATTTTCACAGGAAAGTCAACATTTTATTTCCAGAGAGTCGGAACCCTACATAAAGCCGTGAGTAATTATTCAGGTATTATGGAACCATATCAAGTCTATAAACATAATTTAGTATATTTTACTGGGTAGCTTATCTACATGACCAATATTCAGAAGTGAAAGGCAACTACAATTAGTTACCTGGCCGAGTTTGATATCTCCACGTTTAGGGTTGTATAGGACATGTGTGTTTCCAACCAATAAACTTCGAGAGGTAGTAGCTCTGAAAAAATCATGGATGCACAAATTATGATGGGATGAATAAGTATTGAGTGGAAGAAAGTCAATCAAAAAGCCATTGAGATGAGGCAACCAGGTGCAAATAAGTAATACCTTGAAGACCGTCGTTCAGTAGCTTCATCACTGGACGGGTCTTGATTCATCTGAATAGTCGAGGCATGAGATTTAAATTATTCAGTAATGACCCAAAAAGGGTACCAATGATTTTCCGAAACAGTCTATCACTCAGAAAAAAATTTAGTTATTTTCCAAATTAACCGACTTTTTTGGTTAAGTATTAAGTTATGGAAATGGCATAGTTTAGCGTTATTAATAATTTTTAGTATGTTCAAATTTTTTACCTTTTTTTATTAATTCTAATTTTTGATTCATTTATCATAATAAGGAAAAAAAAAACCAAATTCATGTTTATTTCAATGTTTTTTTAATTTGGACTGAATGCATATTTTCCAATAAACTCTTTAACGCTTCACAGACAGATAAATTTTCTGTATACTAATATGTTTGTTCCATTTGATAATTTACTGAACTGGAAGAATAACATCGGTTCGGTATTATCCATACCAAATTTCTAGTTAACCTAATTTTACTACTGGTCCGGCTCAGTATTCATCCAGCTATAGCAGTCGCCTATCCAGCATAGCGGAAATCAAAACAAGAAAGAGCTCGTTCAAAAAAAAAAAGACTAAATTTTTGGATTCAAAATGTCAGGCCATACTGCTGTTTTACTAGTCTGTTCTCAATAACTAATCCTCACGACACCAACCAAGTCCTATACGTATCAAGTCAAAGAGATGAAATATTTCTTCTATATTGCATTTTTCTGCACATTGACTTTTGCCTTATGGACCAACACAGTTAAGAAAATTGTTGAGGATTATCGCCTAAGATGCTAACTCAACCAGGATGAAACATGAGAAAAAATATGTTATTACAAAGATCTGAATTACCTTCAAAACACAAAATTGAGCAACGTTGTTACGAAGTCCAAACCTCTGAAACTCTATGTTTTCTTCATGCAACAGAGTAAATCTGCAGTACAGTATACTCATCACAGGTAGGGGGAGAAACCACTAATACGAAATACAAGGTACCGGTTTAATGATTATTGTTCCAAGCATAATCCAGACATTGAAAAGATAAAATCTGTTCTAGAGTTCAGAAAAACGCAAAACGAACATCTGAAACTAAATAAAAGAGAAGTCTAAGTACGAACAAACACTGACGCCACCTTTCAGAAATTTAGCAACAATCAGGCCCTTGCCTAACGGCCCTGACCAGTAACTATATCAACTGAAAGCTATTCTGCCAACGTTTTATGTGATAGACAAATTTATCTAACATCGCCATAATATTTGTTCAGTTGATCGAAAGGATAAGTGACTCAATAACTAGACAGTATTATGAAAAAAAGGAATATCTTACAGCTCAGTTTTCCAAAATATAGCACAGCCATCACATGTTTCACCACCACGAGCCTTGGGAACCCAATACACTAACTGGAGTCAAATTACGATTCATAGTTCCAAAAGTAGCAAAAAAAAACACACATAAGTTTGCACAAACCTTGTACACACCTCTGAAGCCATCTTTTGCAAGAATCTCATTCAAATCATCAAAGTGATCGACTTCCTACAGTCACAAGAGATCTGTGAGAGGATGCATGCAGCTACAAGGACAGGTGCAACTTCGAAAAAGCATAAACGTTAATCATAACAATTGTTTCTTCTTTATAATAATAATACATCCTAAGAAAGACAAGAAAAAAAAAAAAGAACCAACTTTTAAATGATGCTTAACAATATCTAGAGCAGTACATATCAGAAAACCAGAACGAGATGCGTAAAAATCATATCTGGCGTTGGGGATTTTCACATGGAAATCGGAACTTTAGAAATAACTATTTCATGGCGATGTGATTGATTAAAAAATAATAGCAACAATGAAGAAGAATGAAGTGGTTTATGAATGGCATTGTCGAAAATAAATGTTGCAAAGCTTGCCTGAAAACACAAGATGCTAGGTTGATAACCCTTGACTTCTTTACACAGTATCTTCTTCCGATATTCCCAATCCAAATACTTTGGGGACACATCTCTATATAACTCTGGATGCTTGGTTGAATTTTCAACGCCAAGTATGTTATATGATACAATAACAACCCTATCTACATCAAGGAGGATTTAAGACAAAATTATCAAGTAAACAAAAATAAAAATGAGAATTAGGGCAAATACCTTTGTAATTGGAGAGATGATGTTGTTGAGAATAAGTCCACTTGCGTTGTTGCCAGCTGTGATTCCTGCGTGACTTCGTACGGATCCTGTCTTGCCTTTGGAAGTGCGAATCTGTATGTTTGCGCGTGTAGGAACAGAATGTGCGGGTTGAATCAGGTTTTATGGTCTGGATTCGGATACAGGTTTCGGTTTCTGAAGATAGCAGCAGCTTTCGTTTTTTCCTGCTGCGTTTGTCGTGGCGGTGTGGACGTTTACCTAAAGAATTGGGGGAAGAATGCTCCGCCGTCGCACTAGGGCTGTCGCCGCTGTCTCCCATGACCGCGACCTTCGATTTTGGCGGCCTAAACTATGATGTCTGTGCAAATTGAAACGCAGGCTAGTGTCTAGGGGTTATTTCTGTGACCAGTATTTTGCTCACCAAATCTTCTACTGTTGAAAATCTATTTTGTGAGAAATCCTAACATTTTCTAATTTCCATTAAACACTTTCTCATATCACTTTTCTTTTTTTCTTTTTTTTTTTTTTTCCTTTTTTAATACAGTAGAATCTCGATTAAATAATAGTTTTTCCCGGTTCCGACTCGATGAAAACGTGTTAGCTTATTAACTCGATAATTTAATAATTTGCTAAATTAGTGGAATTTCACTGGTCTAGACTGTATTAATTTATAGAGGTTTAACTGTATACTCAATTCTTTTCTCTTTCTATGTTATCGTTCACACTTAAAGGCTAGATAGTTGCATCAGGTCAATCTTATATCACCTAATACTTGCATCACGCCGATCTTCCTGTCTCGGCGACTTGTGTCCTTCATCGTACACACTGTTGCATCGGTTGTTTCCGCGTGATAAGAGCTGATTTGTTGGTGGCATAAAGACACATTGTTCAACGTCAAAACTGAGCTATTTGACTCACGCTTTGAATCTGTTAGTGCGTGTTTTTGAAAATTAAATGATGTTGGAGAACCATTGATGTATTTTATGATTGTTTTGAGGTTTTTCTCCCTCACACATTGTTATAATTGTTAATGTATTCAAAATATTGTTGAGCAATAACTGCTGAGCATGTAACTTTCCAAAGATTTATAGTAGCAAACATTGGTGAGAATTGATAAGCTAGTGGTTGTTAAGTGTATATTTTTACACTTTATCATACCTTTTTATTTGAGATTTCGGTGTGTTTTAACGATAATTGGTGCTTAAACAGTTGACTTATTGTATTTTAGGTACAAATTGAAGAATTGGAAAAGTATGGGGTCAAAACTGCAATTTTGGAGAAAATATGGGCCAAAAGTGAAAAAACTTAAAATTCTGAAGATTTAAAGCTCGGACCCCGTCCGAGTTTTAGTGCAAATTGTGAGACCCCCGTCCGAGACTCCGAAGTTGAGCAATAAAGGAATTTTAATTGCACAAGGAAGCTGCCTTCTTCCCCATGTTCTTCACCCTATATAAGAACAAGCCAAACACACAATTGGGGATCCTTTTACGCAATTTCAAGAGCAACAAAGCAATAACGAAGACGAAGAATTCGAAGACTCCAAGCAAAGATTTATCGTTTATGTTTTATTTTTATTTGTGTTTTTGCTTTAATCATGAGTAGCTAATTTTCTTATTTCTAGGATTTTATTTTAAACCCTATGTGGGATTTATGAACCCTTTTCTATGATTTTATGCAAGTTTTAATTCCGGATTATTTCTTCTACTTGTTTTATTGAGTGTGATGCAAATGGAACCATAAGAGACGAAGGCAAGTAATTTCGTATTTTTTGTGCTCAAAGAAAGCAAAAAAAAAAAAAAAAAAAAGAAGAAGAAAACAAAAAAGAAAAAAAAAACGAGAAAAAAAAAAAAAAAAAAAAAAAGAAAGGAAAGAAAATATCTGCGTAATCTTCAATATGGTATCTTTATTCTTGTGCTCCTAGATTTCCATATTCTTTAGCATTTATCTCTATAGAGATTACTTGCATCTCTTAGGACTTTAATTCTTGATTCTTGTGATTTGTTTGATTGATTCTCACTTTGAATTGCTATTTGATTCTCGATTGTTCTTGAGTTCAATTAAGAGTGAAAAGAAGATACAACGAGCGGAAAAAGGCAGAGTGGTGAGAATATAAGAGGGTAAAAGCCGATTGAGTGTTAAACACGAGTGTGAGTGACATCATATTGAGGGAAACACGTGAGGGAGTGTTTGTGAGGTTTTTAATAATATCTTGCAGATCTCGTAACATGTCACAAAACGGAGGAGATAATTCAACTGAAGAGGGGCAACAACCAGGCATTTCAAAGTTCCAAATGCAAGCATTGGTGAGCGAGATGAGGCGGGTGATGAGAATAGAGATGGAGCAAATTCATGAAAGGATAGACAAATTGGAAGAGGAGACAACAAAGAGGCAGCCCCCGCCTAGGCGAGTGCAACCAAGGGCACAATGCGGTGATGCTGTAGATGAAGAAGAATTAGAGGAACTCGATGAACGTCCAATGAACGGAGGAAGGTTTGAACGTGGGTATAGAGGTGCTAACAATGGAAGAAGGCCTAGGCAAGATGACGATTTGGGAAGCATCAAGGTGACGATTCCGCCATTTCAAGGCCGAAACGACCCGGAGGCTTATCTTGAATGGGAGAAGAAGATAGAAATGGTCTTCGAATGTCATAACTACTCCGAAAACAAAAAGGTAAAGCTTGCTGCAATTGAATTCACTGATTATGCTATTATTTGGTGGGATCAATTGTTGAAGGAAAGGAGGAGAAATTACGAGCAACCTGTTGAAACATGGGATGAGATGAAGGCCATCATGAGGAAACGTTTCATTCCAAACTACTACCATAGAGAGTTGTTCAACAAGTTACAACGCCTAACTCAAGGATCGAGGAGCGTCGATGAGTACCACAAAGAGATGGAAGTTGCCATGATCCGAGCAAGTGTACAAGAAGATAGGGAAGCTACCATGGCTAGATTCTTACATGGCTTAAATCGTGAAATAGCAGATGTTGTGGAGATGCAACACTATGTGGAATTGACGGATATGGTGCACCAAGCTATCAAAGTCGAACAACAACTGAAGCGGAGGAATTTGGCTAGGAAGGGAACAGGTGCAATCACTTCAAATTCGTGGAAGGCAGCACCTAAACGGGATGAATGGCCATCAACCAAACCTAAATTCGAACCTTCTAAGGATGCCAAACCAGCGACAACATTCAAACAAGGTAACACTGAACCCTCCACTTCTAAGAATCGAGATATGAAATGTTTCAAGTGCCATGGCAGGGGACACATAGCTAGTGAGTGTCCTAACAAAAAGGTTATGGTGCTAAATGCCCAAGGGGAGATCGAATCGGAGGATGAAAAGGAAGACGAGGTAGATGAGCTGCCATCTTTTGGAGATACATACGAAGGGCAATATGCTGCAGAGGGTGAGTTATTAGTGGCAAGGCGAGCTCTTAGTGCACAAGGTAAAGAAGAAGAGAACAATCAACGAGAAAACTTATTTCATACTCGTTGTTTTGTAAATGGTAAGGTTTGCAGCGTTATTATTGATGGTGGGAGCTGCACTAATGTTGCAAGTACTGAATTAGTTGAGAAATTGGGTTTGCCTACCTTGAGGCATGCTCGACCATACCGACTTCAGTGGCTAAACAATAGTGGAGAAATCAAGGTGACAAAGCAAGTGTTAGTGGCATTCTCCATTGGCAAGTATGAGGATGAAGTGTTGTGCGATGTGGTGCCTATGCAAGCATGCCATGTCCTATTGGGGAGACCATGGCAGTACGACCGTCGAGCAACACATGACGGGTACACCAATAGGTACTCTTTCATCATTAAAAAGCAACCCATGACACTTGTACCGTTAAGTCCCAAGCAAGTTCTTGAAGATCAACTCAAGATACAAAAAAAGAGTGAGAAGTGTAAAGAAAAACAGAGAGATGGTGAGATTGAGAGAAAAGAAAAGGAGAGAAGAGAGGAGAGGAGTGTAAAAACAAAAGAGAGTGATAAAAAAAATGAGAGCGAGCGAGGGGAAAAATACAACTTCATTGCAAAAAAAAGTGAGATCAAGAGAGCTTTATTATCACAACAGCCCCTTATAGTACTTATGTACAAGGAGGCCCTTTTGAGTACTAACGAACTTGTCGGATCATTGCCGAGCAATGTTGTTTCACTTTTGCAGGAATTTGAAGATGTCTTTCCCGAGGAGGTACCACCAGGCTTACCACCAATTCGAGGAATTGAGCACCAAATTGACTTCGTACCAGGTGCAACAATTCCAAACCGACCAGCCTATCGAAGTAGTCCCGAGGAGACAAAGGAACTTCAACGGCAGGTTGATGAGCTACTCGAGAAAGGACATGTTACGGAGAGTATGAGCCCTTGTGCAGTTCCGGTGTTGCTAGTACCTAAGAAGGATGGGACATGGAGGATGTGTGTTGATTGTCGAGCCATCAACAATATCACGGTAAAGTATCGTCATCCTATTCCTAGACTAGATGATATGTTAGATGAATTGCATGGGTCTTGCGTGTTCTCTAAAATTGATCTTAAGAGTGGCTATCATCAAATTAGAATGAAAGAAGGTGATGAGTGGAAAACTGCATTTAAAACAAAATATGGCTTGTACGAATGGTTGGTTATGCCTTTTGGGCTTACTAATGCACCTAGTACTTTTATGAGGCTCATGAACCATGTTTTACGTGCATTCCTTGGTAAATTTGTAGTTGTGTATTTTGATGATATTCTAATTTACAGCAAAAACCTTGATGATCACGTTGAACACCTAGCACTTGTTTTAAAGGTTTTAAGGAAAGAAAGGTTGTTTGCTAATCTTAAGAAATGTACTTTCTGTACGGACAAACTTGTGTTTCTTGGTTATGTTGTTAGTGCTAAAGGTATAGAGGTTGATGAGGAAAAGGTGATGGCGATTCCAGATTGGCCAACGCCTACATCGGTAACTCAAGTAAGGAGCTTTCATGGCTTAGCTGGATTTTATAGGCGCTTTGTTCGAGATTTCAGCAGCATAGCAGCACCTCTTACAGCAGTTATCAAAAAGAACGTTCCATTCAAGTGGGGAGAGGAGCAAGAAAGGGCATTTCAACTCATCAAGGATAAATTGACGAATGCACCATTACTTGTTTTGCCTAACTTCACTAAAATGTTTGAAATTGAGTGTGATATATCAGGTATAGGTATTGGCGGTGTACTAATGCAAGAAGGAAGACCAATTGCATACTTTAGTGAAAAATTAAGTGGGGCAGCTTTAAACTATCCTACATATGACAAGGAATTGTATGCATTGGTTCGAACTCTAGAGACGTGGCAGCACTACCTGTGGGCGAAAGAGTTTGTGATTCATAGCGATCATGAATCCTTGAAGCATCTAAAGGGACAATATAAATTGAGCAAGCGTCATGCCAAGTGGGTGGAATTCATCGAAACTTTTCCTTATGTTATCAAATACAAGCAAGGTAAGGAGAACATAGTTGCTGATGCATTGTCACGAAGGTATGTTTTGCTTTCAACACTTAGTACTAAGTTGCTTGGATTTGAGTATATTAAGGACTTGTATGCAACTGATTCTGATTTTGGTGATTATTTTAAAAATTGCACTAATGGGGCATACGGGAAGTTCTATTTGCATGATGGTTTTTTATTTCGGGAGAACAAGTTATGTGTGCCACATTCATCTTTGCGTGAATTACTTGTTCGGGAATCACATAGTGGTGGTTTGATGGGGCACTTTGGGGTGGCTAAGACTTTAGGTGTGTTGCATGAGCATTTCTTTTGGCCACGCATGAAACATGATGTAGAGAAAATTTGTGCAAGATGCATTAGTTGCAAGCAAGCCAAATCTAGGCTTCAACCACATGGTTTGTACACTCCCCTGCCTATTCCAAATGCACCTTGGGTTGATATCTCTATGGATTTTGTTTTGGGTTTACCTAGGACAAAGAGGGGGAGAGATTCAGTTTTTGTGGTTGTTGATAGGTTCTCTAAAATGGCTCACTTTATTGCATGCCATAAGACTGATGATGCATCACATGTAGCGAATTTATTTTTTTGTGAGATTGTTAGGTTGCATGGCATGCCAAGGACTATTGTTTCTGATAGAGATGCAAGGTTTTTAAGTTACTTTTGGAAGACCTTGTGGGGTAAGTTAGGAACTAAATTGTTGTTCTCTACTACATGTCACCCACAAACTGATGGTCAAACGGAAGTAGTGAATAGGACTTTGTCTACTTTATTGCGTGCAATTATACAAAAAAACTTGAAAACTTGGGAAGATTGTTTACCGCATGTTGAATTTGCTTATAATCGCTGTGTTCATTCTGCAACTAAGTTTTCACCTTTTGAGATTGTTTATGGTTTTAATCCATTGACTCCTTTGGATTTAACCCCTTTACCTTTGGATGAGCGTGTTAACTTAGATGGCGAAAAAAAAGCAGATTTCGTAAAACAACTTCATGAGAAGGCAAGGCAACATATAGAGCGTCGGACTGAGCAATATGTCAAGCAAGCTAATAAGGGACGCAAGAAAGTTGTCTTCGAACCAGGAGATTGGGTATGGCTACATATGAGAAAGGATCGGTTTCCTCAACAAAGAAGATCTAAACTCCTTCCAAGGGGTGATGGACCATTTCAAGTGGTGGAACGTATCAATGACAATGCCTACAAACTTGAACTACCTGGTGAGTATGGTGTTAGTAATAGCTTTAATGTTTCTGACTTATCTCCATTTGATGTAGGTGATGCAGATTTGAGGACAAATCTTTCTCAAGAAGGGGAGAATGATGCAAATGGAACCATAAGAGACGAAGTCCACCAAGAGCCACTAAGCTTGCCAAGCGGACCAATCACAAGGCTTAGAGCCAAGCGTTTCAAGGAAGCATTATATGGGCTGATTCAAGAAGAAGTTGAGATGGCAAATAATAGGAGGCCCAACATGAGTTCAAATCCATGTACAAGCCCATTCACAATTCAAATGGACCCAAGTCAGATTGAAGGGAAGTCAATCACAAAGATATCAGTTGTGGAAGGGTCTAATTGAAGTAATCACGTTCTCAAGGCTTTGGAGAGTCTTTCACTTGTGCAATTTCAGCCTTAGAATATCAATATTCTGATTTAGATGTTTCCTTAATTTAGAATCAATAATTGTCAATTAGATTGGCTGATTAGTGGCTAATTTGATTGGATAGTTAATAATTCCTTGTTCTTAGTTTATTTCCATAGATTAGAGAATATTGAACCCTATATAAAGGGGCTAAGTTGTATGTTTCAGCAATCAATTGAGAAATCTTTTTTGTGAGGCAATAGTATTCTTTTTTCTATCTTGAAAGAGCTTTTGAACTTATCAAGTTATCTTGTGGCGTTCAAACAATCAGACTTATCATCAAGATTCTTGAATCCATCTTGAACTCTTGGTGTGGCGTCTTCGTATCCATTGTAATCTTGGTTCGTGATTTACTAATCATTGGGTCAAGGTTCGACAAACTTGTTTCTTTGGGGGGTCTTGGGGTTCCAAAACCATATATTGTTATTGGGTTTCGTCACATGTTGACGTAGTTCATATCAAAGTGCATGAATTTGATCACCTTATGTGCTTTTATGTTATTGTTAATCGCATGAATCGGAAGATCGGGTTAATAATTAGAACTGTGGTAGAAGAGCCTTTGTGGTATTAACATAGGAATATAGTTAATCTCTTAGGTAGCCATTATTGAGATTTGTGCTTAATGTTGTGTTCTAGAATTAATTGCATGGGAATATAGTAATTGAATCTAGAGTATTAGAATCGTATATTACACGCGGAAGCGGGTTAAGATTATTTTAGCATCTCAAGTTAATAATCCGGGTTAATTGCTTGCATAATTGAAGGAACTGGGGGAGTAATAATCACATAGGGGGAAGAAAAAAATCTTAGGCTTGTTTACTCTGATTAAACCTTCGTTTTTAATTGCTTTCGTGCTCTTGTCTTTTTAATTTGCTTTTTAATTTAGTTTAATTTAGTTAATTCTCTCAAAATTCGACTGTGTAGGGTGGGCTTGATAATAATTGATAGGATTTAGCGTCAAGGATTAAATAATTACATATTCCCTGTGGGTTCGATATCCGGACTTTTAGTCCACTATATTACTTGTACGATACGTGCACTTGCGTGTAGGTTATCCACCAACAAGTTTTTGGCGTCGTTGCCGGGGAATGTTTAAATTATTTATTTTATTCTAGCTCTAAATTTGAACAATTTTCACGATTCACCCATTTAATTTTTGTTTTATTTTATTTTTCTTTTTAGGTAATGTGTATGCGCAGGAGACTCGATCTTGCTAGAGAACCGTTTGATCCCGAAATCGAACGTACTTTTCGAGCCGTTAGGAGATGTCAACGTGCAAACAATATAATGGCAGACGAAGAACGCAGAGACGCAGAGGGTCATTTACTCGATGCGAATGGAATTCGCATCCAAGACCCACCCCTTCAACTTCCGTTACAGCCAGCAGTTAGGCCACGGGCACTTCAAGATTACATAATCCCAACTCTCGACGGATTCCGCCCGAGCATCCAATATCCACCTATTGAGGCGCACAATTTTGAGATCAAGCAAGGCCTCTTGACGATGCTCCAAAATAACGGGCTATTTAGTGGATTGGCGGGTGAAGATCCCCATCTTCACATTGTCAATTTTCTAGATACCTATAATTCCCACTGTCAAAACGGCGTTTCCCAAGAGGCGCTTCAATTAATTCTCTTCAAGCACTCCTTACAAGGAAGAGCTCGCCAGTGGTTGATCTCACAAGCCCCCCATTCTATCTCGTTGTGGCCTCAACTCCTCAACCTTTTCATGAAAGTTTATATCTCACCCGATAAGGACGAGAGAATCCGACGAGAAATTCATAATTTTGTCCATGAGCAAGGCGAGCAATTATACGAGGCATGGGAGAGATTTAAAACTCTTTTGCGGCAGTGTCCAACACATGGAGTCGAACAATGGCGGCAAATCAACATCTTCTACCAAGGGATTAACGAGAATGCACGAACCATCTTATATGCATCAACCGGGGGTAATTTCACGAGTCAATCGATACCGGATGCATTTATCATGTTGGATCAAATTGCACAAAATCGGTTTGCCAAGTCAAGCGAGAGGACGGTTAATGGAGCCAAGAAAATTCCCGGAGTGTAGGAGTTAGATGCAATTACGGCCCTTTAAGCTCAAGTGACCCAAATTGCTCAACAAAATCAACTCCTTCTGCAGCACATCAAAGCAAGTCCACCACAACAAGTCCAAGCAATTGATTCTCCATGTTGTGAAATTTGCGGTAGAAATCATTACACGCTCCAATGCCAACAAGATGTGGAGTCGCTCAACTACGTCAACAATGCACCTCGCCAATTCCAAAATCAAGGGTGGAGATCACAAGGGCAATATGGAGGAAATCAACAAGACCAAGGGTATCAAAGACCTCAAGGTCAATTTCAAAATCAAGGCCCTCCTCAACAAAGCTATTAAGGCAACAATCCACCGGCCCAAAAATCAAACACGGAGGAGATATTGGCCCAATTCATGACAGCTACCCAAGCCTCACTGCGGAATTTGGAGAATCAATTCGCTCAATTCGCTTTGAATCAAGAGAACCATCCGGCGGGAGCATTGCCATCGAATACGGAAGATCCTTGAAAGCAAAAGTTTGAGACGTGCCAAGCTATCGATGTCAAGATCGAAAAAAGGGAAGAAATTCAAATAAAGCCGCAAGTCACTGTAGCTGAATGGGTGGAACCAATCCCATATCCACAACGATTGCTAACGAAAAATATCGAGGTCGAGACGTGCCAAGCAGTCACCTTGAAGAACGGTAAGCAATTGGAGGAAGCCCCACGAAAAGAGAAGAGAAACACGGTAATCGAGAAGCCGAAAGTGAATGAGGAAAAATAATCAACTCATGAAGGGCAACCATCAACGGTGCCTTCACAAGTCCCTCCAATTCCTTATCCTCAAAAGTTTATAAGGAAGAAGCTCGATGCCGAATATCAAAGATTTTTGGACAAGTTGAAGGAAATTCGCATAAATATTACTTTCATTGAAGCACTTCAAAAGATGCCAAAGTGGGTGAAGTTCCTCAAGGACCTTGTGAAGAAAAGTAAGAAATTGCAAGGGAACAAGATGAACTCACGGAGCAAATTAGTGCAATTCTTACTCGGCCCCTTCCACAAAAAATCGGCGATCCAGGTAAGTTTACTATTCCTTGTACTATAGGAGGTAAAAATTTTAGATCCCTCATTGATTTAGGCGCTAGCATTAATCTTATGCCTTATTCCACTTTTAAAAATCTTGGGTTAGGAGAAATTGAATCGACGGCGATAACTCTTCAATTAGCCGATAGATCTTTAGTTTACCCAAAAGGTATTTTAGAGAATGTGCTAGTGAAAGTCATAAATTTATCTTCCCTGTCGATTTCGTTATACTTGATATAGATGAGGATAGGGAGATACCTCTTATTGTAGGGAGGCCATTTTTAGCCACGTCGAAAACTCTTATTGATTGTGCTAGTGGTGATCTTACAATGACTGTGCATGATCAAACAATCAAATTCAATGTTTTTAGTGCTAATAAAAATCCATGTGATAATAATGACTGTTTTGCTATTGAGCTTATGGATTTTACAAATAATTAAAAGTTTGATGTTTTGATCTTGGACAATGGGAAAGCATCTTTGAGTGCAGGAGATAATGGCGGAAACGAAAATCGGAAGGAGCAAGTTTACTTCATGGACTCAATTTCAACTCCTCCAAGAGAAAGTCATATGAGTATGAGTCTTAACAGCGATGAAAGTGCAAGGAAGATGCTGCCACCCAAAGACTCGAGCAAGTCACGAGAGAAGGATGAGTCAAGCTATTGTGGTCGTAAGGAGAAAGTCAAAAGGAAATTGCACAAAGGACAATTGGTGTTATTGTGCAAATCACGGTTGTGGTTATTCCCAAGGAAGCGCAAATCAAAGTGGTCGGTACCATTTATTGTCCAAGAGATTCTTCCTCACGAAGTGGTCAAAATAAAAGAGCGAGATTCAAATCGTACGTTCAACGTGAAGCGGAGCCGGCTCAAACCGTATTGGGAAGCGAGTGAAGATTTCCAAGTGACTTCGGTCACTTTTGCTTGAAAATAAAGAAGCAACGTCCGACTGAAGACTTTAAACTTAGCGCTTTTCGGGAGGCAACCCGAGCTTTATTGTTTTCGTAGTTTCCTTTATTTTTTTTCATTTCGTTTTTATTGTCATAGGCATGCATTCTAGTTAATTTATTTGAATTTTACTTTTCAGGGTCGATAACATGATCGGGAGGTCCAGACGGCCGTCCGCCCGAAAAAAAAAAAAAAAAAAAAAAAAAAAAAAAAAATTGGCATCAGTGCATTTGAGACGACCGTCCGAAAAAAGGGCATAAAACCGGGACGGTCGTCCCCAAACCAGTAAGGGGTAGCAACTTTTGGACGGCCGTCCAGAAAACAGGCACAAAACCGGGACGGCCGTCCCCAAACCAGTAAGGGGACAGCAACTCTCGGACGGCCGTCCGAGAAATAGGCATAAAACACGGGACGGCCGTCCCGTGACCAGTGGTGAGACAGAATACTCGGACGGCTGTCCGAAAATAAGAGTGAAAAGTGGGACGGTCGTCCGAACATGTTTTAGGGCGTTTAAAAATTTTTAAAAATCAGATTTTCTCCCCCATTTATTCCTAAACCCTTCTCTTTCTTTCTATCAACCTCCCACACACGAATTTTCGAATTTTTTCAATTTCTCTTCCGAAAAATTCTTCAATTCCACACACATAATTCACTCACGCACTCTTCGATTCTTATTTTGTGTTGGTATTGACAGGGAGGCTAGAAAATCGAACAAATTTCTTCAAAATCTACTATTTCAAGGCACGCCCACAAGGTGTTCGACAATTTGCTCCACCCAAATTTGGGGGTCGATTCTTGTCCAATTCTTACCGAATCCATTCCAAAAGTTCTCCCAATTATGTCGTCCAACAAGAGAGGCCGCACGACTGAAGCTT